ATGTAGGATGGTCCTGTTGAAGGAGAGCTCTTCCGTTAAAATGACTCCCTCTGTCACTTGACAGTGAAGATGATCATTGTAACCAGTTGGTTACAAGTTGTACTATTTTTTATTTTAATTTGATAGCATTTGTCGAATATAAATGTGTATAAAAAGAAGTTGCGTACAAAAAAAATCTTGTGTATAGTTTTATATTTTGATTTAATTTCCCTTCTGCCTTATCATATTGAATGACCCATCACTTTTGTATATAGTTTTCATCAATATATACACTGATAAAGAATTAATTAAGTATTGAAATATTTATATTTCAATATATACAGACCCTCCAATCTCTCCCCAGATTCATAACTCTCGGATCTAATTATGATTAGTAATAGATTTAGCATTCAATATAATTGAAGATAGTCACTTTATAGCATTATTAGCTAAAAGTTGGTCTTTGTCTTTAATTATGAACTCCCATGTGCTAAAGCCATGTGGGTGGGACAACGATAATAAATGATTTGTTTAAAAAACAAAATACTCATTTTATATGTATTCTCACAAACAATTATTTTAAGAACAAAACCAATTGACTACATTTATGTTATATTTCACTATAAATTATGATAATTTATGTTGTTAATTTATGATCATGTTATTGTAGTTAATTCTATAAATGCGTTTTGGCTAATGTCTTGGTTGAGCGAATTTTGACCTCATACCTTATTAATTTCACCTCAATCAACTATTTCATGATGTTTTTTATAAAATTCTTAATAGCTAATTATAGTTGTTTTGACTTAAAAATGAGCTGTTCGAAAATGCTTGAAATCACAAATTTTTCCATTTAATAAAAAAAGGTTATAAGCTATTGTTAGAGTTTCTATAGGGAATGATTGGTTATAAAATATGCGGTTATAATTGGCCAACTTTGTTTTAATTCAATTCCAATCAGGCCTTACTATCTCATATTTGTGTTCATTATCTTAAATAAACTAATTTTTTTTTATAAATTAATTATAATTGTATACTTTGGAAATAATACAATTTCATAAATAAGAAAATTATATTTATTATATTTCATCTAGTTTTTATAGTTTTCTTTTTCATTTTATGCATTGTTTTTGTAAAAAATAGTACGACTCTTTTGCCCTTTTATTTTAATTTTTAATATTTTTATGGATTCCAACCCAATCCATTACAACAAATTACCTTTTAATTATTTATTTAAATCAATTAAATTACTAAATGTTAATTTGAAATTAAGTATCAACCATCAATTCATGTACCCACTAATAGTACATAATTTCAACATGCTTATTTGAAAAGCCTGTTGAAGTAAAGTTTCTAATGGACTTATAAAATTGAAGATATTTTAAGAAATATTATATGAGGAAAGAAAATTGTATAAATATAAAATATAATTACGATATAATCAAACTAGAAAAAAATAAAATTAATTCGAAATCAAATTAGAAGTTGTAGATAACATATATATGTATATATGTATACATACATATATATGTATATATGTATGCGTGTGTGGTTTTAAAAAAATTATCATTTAGACAAATCGAGTATAAAATATGAGTATTATATTAAATAATTAACTTTGTTCTTTTTTATGATTTTTTGTATAATTTATTTTTTATAATATAATAAATTTCTTCACTTCTTTATTTTTATATAAAGATTTAATTTCAAGCACCCATATTATTCACAGATGTCATATTAACTGTCGAATAAATTAATTATTCAATTTATTTATTTTTTACCAAAATGAATATATATTAAACAAAACAAATAATGCTTAATAAAAATATTTTTTAGAATTCAAAATGATGTCTAAATATTATTTTCTTATGAATTATTTATAGTTTTTTATTTCTCAATAAGTATTTAATTTCTTTTTTACTTTTTCTTGCATAATTAATTAATTACAATTCCCCCTAATAAAGAACTTCAAGTCGTCTGAAGAATTCATTACCATTGAAACTTCAAATCATATAATTCTCATTAATTTTGGAATAAGTGTACATGTAAAAAAACTAGTATAAAAAAGTGTAGAATTCATATCCATTGAAACTTCAAATATTATAATATTCTCATTAATTTTGGAATAGAATAAGTAGTGTACATGTTAAAAACACTAGTATAAAAAAATATATAGGTTACACTCAACACATGTATCCATTTTAAAGTTTGATGTTACAACATATAATTAAAAATAATTTAAGTTATTTAAAAAGTAATTTGTGATAATGACAACTTAACAAAATAAGATATCAAATCAATCACCCTTGTTCTTATCCACAAAATCACTGTAGTTGTGTCTGATGATACTATTCCATAAAATCAGATGGTGCTATCATTTTCACAAATACTAATATAAATTGTGTTGCTATTTTTAAGAAAATAGATCCATGTTAAAAATAGCACTAAAACACAATCAATCATAACAATACGTACAACTATAAATAGCGGTTCTCACGGTAAAACTTGGTTCTCATTTGAACCACATCCTACATATATA